AAAAAAAAAAAGAGAGAGATTGGTGTGAGGGCAGGGTTGGCCCTGTCATTGGTTCATGCAGGAATTGGCTCGGATATGGTTTCAGAGTTGGTCTGGGAAGTGTAGATGCACATGGTGGTGTTGGGTGTAGGAATGGATCCTGGTGTTAGTCTACATGTAGGTGTGGGTTCTGGAGATGGATCAGGTCCAGGGAGATCAATCCCTGGAGCTACAGGTTTCTTTGGTTCGGTAGGGCGGGGGTTTGGGTCCGGTTTTGATCAATTAGTTGGTCCTAGCTATGTGTAGGACTGGGACTAGCTAGCCTAGCGCTATAGCATGGCTTTGGCGTTGGTCTCGGAGCTGGTCGAGTTGGGGCTTGGTTCAGCACCTGGACTTGGACTGGATTTAGATTCGATTCGATTCGATTCTGACCAGTGTTGCAGGATCAGGACTTCTGGGGTATCTTGTCCATGGCCAATGGGTCTAATCTTCAGGCACGGCGTGAACGTTTCAAACCTTGAGCTTAAAGTGGAAGAGTCGGAAGAGTGAGCGATCAACAATCCATGTGCAACAAACTTTTTGGTCTCTTCTCCTTCACCTATCTCCTAATTACCTTGACTCGTTAATCTTGATTACTAAATCTTTTTGCTTTTCCAAACGTATCTATTTTCTTAAATAAAGAAACTACTTGAACACCTACCTGAACCTTGTGAGAATGGTTAGTACTTAGGACATCAGGGACTCAACATATTCACACACTTTGGTACGGTACGAAAAGTGGAACGACGAGCGGTTGCATTGAAGCCTGCTTTTGAACTGGCATGTCTTTGAGCTGTCTTTGCCTCCCTCATTCATCATCATCTGTCATACCGGTACCATCCGTCCCATCCACCATCAATTCAAGAGGCGTTGCTAGCTAGTACAATTAATTGTAAACTAATGCCTCGTTTGATCAGATAGCACTGAAGAAAGAGTGCTCCTCGTCCGAGAAAGCACAGATACAAACAACTCATTGGCATCACTAGTATCAACAAAAAACAAGATGGGATCCGCTCCTTCAAAGACCCTGGAAGAGTGGTCTTCGGAAGATCTTTCCCAAGAATTGACCCGATTGGGCCCCAAGTACCAAAGCTATAGTGGTGCAATTGCCGACAATGGGCTGGATGGTTCCATTCTGGCCAGTTTGACGGACCAAGAACTGGACGAGACATTGGATGACTTGGGCTTTCAGAATCGACTACATCGTCTTGTCGTCCGCAAAAAGTTGGCAGCGGTGTCTCGCAGCAGCAGCAAAAGTACTAGTTCCGAAGAAGAGTTGACTCAATGGAGCAGCCATCCCTGCTTGGAGGAGACCACGACAGCAATCCACAGTGTCAGCATCAATAATGACAAGAAAAATGCCCAAGAAGAATCTTAACAACACAAGAAGGAGAGACAGAAGGACCAACAAGTCACCCCAGAGAGAGAAGAAGAGGTTGACAATGATGAGGAACTGACTGAAGCTGACTTGGCCATTTTTGATGACATTGTGGCTGATATTCTCGAAAAGACCAACGACAGTTCCATCTGTTATGTGGGAGTGCATCTCATTCAAAACGAGGGACAACTACTCCTCAGTGGAGCCTTGCGAGAATCGGAAGACGACGACGATCATTCCGTCGATTCACTCCAACGATGGCATTTGCGACCTCATCAAGAATCACTCTGTTCCACTCTGGTTCGAACCAAAACACAAGACACATTCATGAAGGTCAAATTGCCACGCATGGGCATGACGTATCGAGGACACGTCCTGTGCAACTCGCACGGGCATCGGGTCGGATCCGTTTGTCTCATTGAAAAACTCAGTGCTGCAGTCACAACCACAAGATAAAAAATCTAGTATTAATACAAAGTGACAATTACGTATCGTTCCTCCAGGAAATGGCCGGACGCGTCGAACGACACATGCGACCCCGCGAAACGCTCATTACCAAAACCGCCGCTCGAAAAGCCCGTCTCAAACTCTCGTTGGAAGGGGACGATGCCGAACCGGAACTGACACATCTCTTTCAAGGAGCGGCCGAAATGCTCGAAAAGGAAAACAACGAACCCGAACAAGTCGCCAAACCTCCATCACAACTACAACCACTGGGATATGTCAATGCCAGTGATCATACCGTCCGACGGGGGTCTTTTAGTCGGCTTCCACCAGAACAAACACCACGACCTCTCTTGCAGCCGCCCGAATCGTACACAACAAACAACAAACCCACCCGCACTCGACGCCGATGAGGGGTCCTTCCAATCCTTTTTTCCCAAGACGGCAGAAGATTCTCAGATTTCGACGGGGCCGAGCTACTGTCGCGGACGAAATGCCCCATTTGGCACCGGATTTCTTTTCCTTGCACGATCAACACGGCATTCCACGACCTCCCATTGCCAAGGATGACATGAAGAGTATTGCTTGGGTGGAAGAATTGTCGTTGCATGGAATTCATGCCGATTCGGTGACGGGCAAACGATTGATGCAACTCACGCACATGGCCGCATCCATGGCCGACTGTCCCTGTGCTTTTTCAGTTGGCACGATCCGACCAATGAATATCGAATCGGTCGGCCTTTGGGGAATAGCAACGATAAGGCGGTGCCGACATGTTGGAACATTCCGGTCACGGCGTGCTCAGTCGATCGGCCGATGGCAAACCATTTTCCTATGGATGTGTCCGAGCGCCGGCCATTTGCAATTACACACTCCATCTCAAGAAACCATTCGTGGTGCCGGATTTGGCGGAAGATGCTACCTTTCGGTATATTGCCGACATGTCGGCGACACGGTTCTATGCTGGGGTTCCATTGGTGACGGCCGATAATTTGGTCCTAGGAACGCTTTCCGTGATGGATCTTCAACCGCGTCGTGATTTTGATACTACTGCTACCGACAATGACGATCAAGTTTCTTCCAAAATGGCACAGCTGCAACATTTTGGCTTTTTGGTACAACAAGAAATCATGGACTGGTACGCGGTCCACAAGGCAGAGCGGCTGCATCGCTCTCATTCCAAGCTACTCATGACCACAAACAAATCACAACCACCGCGAGGAGGAGAAGTGACCATTGTACGAACCAGTGTGGAAGGTGCCGCGTCCTTGTGGAAACGAGATCCGTCGGCCATGCAGGCGGCATTGGACGTGCAAGACAATATTCTGCAAAAACAGTTACAAATGCACGATGGATACGAAGTCAGTTCGACCGAGGAAGGTGGCTTTTGTTTGGCATTCCACGATCCTTTGGATGCCATGCAGTTTGCGTTGGATTGCCAAATGTTGCTGTACGAAGCGCAATGGCCACCCGAGATTCATGTCTTGCCAGGAGCGGCTCTCAATGAGGCGGAATGCTTCCGAGGACTGCGGGTGCGAATGAGTATTGCGCACGGTCGTGTCAAGCACAACCAGAATGAATCGACCGGCGCTGTCACATACGGAGGCTTTGCCTACAATGTGGCCAAGAGCTTGGAGCGGCTGGCCAATGGTGGGCAAATACTGGCATTGGAGGATACATGGGATCTCGTGGTTGCTTCCAGCAGGCGAGCTAATGGGCGATTCCAAGTGCTGGATGTTGCCAAGCAGGTGGTACAGATGGGGAAGATTGTGCTTGGCACTGGTCAACGATTTTCCGACGGGGTCATGGCCAAGGGTGTGGTGCAGTTGATACCGCATCCCCTCTCGTACAATTACTTCAAGGCGCGAAAGCGTACCAACACTCGCATGCTTGCCCCCGAGCCAGATATGAACATTATCATGGGTCGCATGTTTCCGCCCCTCGACGTCGCCAGCAATCGACTACTTTGTCCGTCATTTCATGACGCCCCTCATGACGACAATCAAGTAACGCTCATGGTCATGGATTCAACTCTTCTTGCCGAAGGCCTGAGCGACAAGGAACTCCAGGTGGTCAACGCGAGACTCTTCCATATGGTTGGGTGCCTGGTCAACTCTTTTGGTAGTGGTGCATATCACTGCAAGGACCTGATGGTTGCCTTTGATGGACCTGCCAATGCGCTGTGTTTCGGTTTCATGCTATTGCAAAAGCTTCGCGATTGGCATATCCAAGGAGACCCCAACAAGATTGGGAATCGGCTCAAGATTGGCTGTTTCCAGGGCGAGTTCTCCAGCATGGGGCCACACAAGCGCACGGGGAGGGCGGTCTACATTGGAAAAGTCGTGGACCGTGCTGTGAACGTGGCCGGCGCTGCTGCACCCGGAACAATCTGCTTTGGAACCATTGTTGCACCCGGTGCTCCCATTTGGGTGTTGGAATTCAAGCCTCCTTCTTTGGGCGGTGATTCGGTTTCGAGCATGACTCAATCACTACTCACCAGGGCTTCGTCCGTCGCGAGCAGTAAACGTCACGTCCGAGGCCTCAAACGATAGCCTCCCTGACTGTTTGTGTTGCATGGTTGTGTGTTCTGTAGAATAGACTCATTCATCCGATGTACAATATCGAAAATGGTACTACAATAACTTCATAGCTAGCTATTTCATTAACACAAAAGTACATCAAAAGTACTAGTACCAATTACTCCCATCAAAGTATAGAGACGACGAAGAGACATATTTGGCGTCCACCACTTCCTCCTGTTGCAGAGGCCCTATTCTGGTCCATCTCAAAGTGGACTTTGTGGTGGAGGTGGGAAACTCGGTACCGGCAATCCCATCGAGGACGCGATACGTTTTCATGATTTCCAATCCTTCCACGACACCGTCGCCAGCTTGTCGAAATCGTTGTTTGATGAGGACTGCTCGAACAAAGGGACCTTCCGTGATGCGTATCAGTTCTTGTCCTCCCGCCAAAATCCCCTGTTCTGGATTGGGAGGTATGACAGAGCGCTGAATGACTGCCAACTCGACATTATTGTTGCTGGCTGCCGTGGTGATCCTGTTGGGTTGGCCTACTTTCCATTGCACAGCATCCCGACTGATTGCCGTTCGAGAGGCAAGTTCATACCCTCGATCCACCACTGTGAACTTTGGGTTGTCACCACCGTTGTTGTTGGCTATCATCATTGGAATCAGTTGTGTTTCGTAGGATTCCGGAACAGTATTTCCACCAAAAAAGTTGCCCTTGCCACCTCCCAAGGATTTCCAAGCACTCTGCGCCTGGTACACGTCTCCATCGACTGCGACCACGGTGCGTTGACAGGCATACCGTCCTTTCATGGACGCGGGAAACACGAGATTGGACGGATCCGACAACACCGTGTTGCGAGTATCAATGGCGACATCGACACCGCCACCCACATCGACGGAACGAGGAGGAGCGGCATTGGCAATAGACGGCGGTAGGAGAAAAAGTATCAGACCACCAGAGGTTATTGTCCCCAGAAAACTCCTTCTATCCCAATAATTGCTGGGGGCAGTGACAGCATCAACAGAGGGGGCCAGTAGCGGCAAAGATGACAATCCAAACGTTTCTTGCGACAGGAGCAGAAACGAAAGGATCAAGACTGTGCAGCGGGGTATCATCCTGATGTCTACGGTACTGGTATACTTGGATCCTTTTTGGAGAGCTACTCTGTTCAGGTAGACCAACACCCTGGGCCTTCAGCTTCAATGACATCATTTCGAGGTTTTGTCGGTGGCAAGATGGAGACAACTTTGGAATTGAGGTAGCCGCGGTAAATATAAATTTAAATTATTTATAAATGTTACCTAATCTACCCATCTGAAACGATTTTCGATCTCGAACCTGGATTGGGACTGGGACTCGACCTTGGACGTCACCCAAGTGATTCGATTCGATTTGATCATTCTGGCTAGCTAGAGCATTCGATTAGTTTATTTGGTAAACATTCAATCCGTCAACCAACTCACTCACCAAAAAGCAGCCCCAAAAACACTAAATGGACACCTCCAAAAGTGCAAAACGTGAGAGGTGCCGCTATATGTAGCTAGCTACCGGTACAGTAGAGCCAGCCAGCTAGCTGGCTACATGCATTCCAAAGTATATAAAATAAATATGCAGCCAGTTGGACAACCCATCTGCTATTCCCTTGACGGGTCGAAGCGACATCTTTGGTTCTTAGACGAACACGGGAGCTTTTCAGTCTTCTTCCCATAGTCTAGAATGGTACCGGTAGAATGAGGCTACTTTATTAGAAAGCTTTCAAAACGTACTTGGTTGTGTGCAGCTATCTCCGTTTCCGGTTTCCGGTTTCCGGAACCCGAACAGTACATGACATTGTAACTCACAGGAGGTTGATGAGGACCAAGAAGATTGAAGATTCTATTTTGTACCGCTGGTACGCTGTACCGGTACTGCATGTTCAGGTTACCTTGTGAGGAAGTGTTCGCTCATCCTCCCCTGGCTATCCAGCTACTACAAGTAGGTTGGCTCAGCTGTTGGCTCCTCGCTTGGATTGAATTACGCCTATGTTAGGGACGAGTAGGCAGTCATGAAGTCATGAAGCCATGAGAAGGGTGGCAATCAAGCATCATTAGGCAACAACCTAGTATCATCAACCATTCCATTGCAAGATGTTCCCTTGTGCCCTTTGCGCCAGTGTGATCGCGGGATCGCGGGTCAAGGTGATTGGCCTTTTGGAAGCCAGTAGTGTTCCTGATTCCTGATATCTATCTTTGAACTCGAGAATCATTGTCCTCGGCAACTGTAGCCTCTTTGGTCTGGGGACGGGGTGCATCTACAATGTCATGTACTGTACATCATCCTGTTGCCAGTGTGGCTCCTTATTGTTGGTGTTGAAGGGTTCGGCATGCGCACCCACTGGTTTTTGAAAGAGCAAAAAGTTTGCTGTGGTACCGGTACCATACACGGAGGAGGAATTAACGTATTCTGATGCCCTTGCGGTGGGCTCTGCCTGTCTGCGGTTCTGAGGCTCAGTCCTATGGGCGAGAAAATGCCATACCCGGTATGGCAAAAGGCCTTTGGTCAGTTCACCGTTCTGCTTCTTCACCGGAAAACCTGTGAGCGTTTGATACCTCCAGCGGCAATTTCCCCCAAGACTTGCAGATTGTTGCTCCAGGTATCAAACGCTACATGGCTGCCAAATGACTCTCTAGACCAATGAGATTTCATCTCCAGTCCAGCCAGGAAGCTTCTTCGTCCACCAAAATTCAGCTCACATTTTACCCAAAAAGCTGACAATCAACCAAACAGGAGAGACCATGGCGCCACAGCTGGGATAATAGAATAGATAAGAGATAATGGAGGTAGAAATAGACGGTTTCCTTTGGGAAGACAGGGACAATGATCTTACGCAGCTGCTGATGTTCCTGGCTCATATGGGTGCTTCAGAGATGCCAGAAGAAAGGAATCCATCGTTCTTTGACCAGAGATTGTATTGGGACTCCTATTGCCAAAAGCATGTCTCTCGTGGCACCTTCCGTATTCGCTTAAGAATGGAGAAAGCCTCATTTGACAAGCTTTTGTCTTATGTACGCCACTACCTGTTGGTTAAAGAGACAATGGCGGATCTGAGAGGTGGTTCCATAATTCCAGAAGTGTGTCTGTATTGCACCTTACGATGGATAGCTGGAGGCTCGTACCTTGATATTTGTGACATTTCAGGTGTCTCGAAGTCCTCCTTTTACAGGGTAGTATGGAAGACCATTACGGCGATAGCCAAGGCACCAGAACTGAAGATCTGCTTCCCAAAGACATCTGGAGAAATAGAAGCTGCCATCTGTGGGTTCACCGGTATCAGTGACCAAGGAGTGATTAACAACTGTGCTGGAGTTCTGGATGGGTATCTGGTTCGCACGAAGACACCATCCCTTCGAGAAGTCAAAAATCAACGTTCGTTCTTCAGTGGACACTACCAGTGTCATGGTGTCAACGTCCAGGGAATGGCTGATCACTTGTGTCGATTTCAGTACTTTGCGGTGGCAGGACCAGGAGTGATGGATGATCAGCAGGCAATTACAGAAGTTTCGTTGCATGATCTGATAGAGAATCTGCCGTTTGGTATCTGTGTCATTGGAGATGCCGCTTACTGCTCAACTGAACATTTGGTTGCCATCTACCAAGGAGCAGAGAAGTTGGTCCCAAAGTATGACAATTTCAACTTCTATGCAAGCCAACTGCGCATCAGGATCGAAATGGCATTCGGCATTATGCAAATGAAGTGGGGGATATTGCAGAGACCACTGACTTGCTCTCTTGCGAACCTGAAGTGGTTGATGCAGGCAATCGGCAGACTGCACAATTTCTGCATCAACGAGCATGTGGCAAGGGATGGAGAAGAAGCCATCTTTGAACCCAATATTCCTCGGTACGTCCCCACAGTTCCACACGATGAAGACGGAAATCCCATTGACTTGAACAATCTGTTCGAGGGAACTGTCCGTGGACATTCTCATCTTCGAGAGTACATGGCGCTTCAAGTTGAAAGGCAGCATCTTGTTCGACGTTAGGTGTACTCCAGTGTGGTGGTGTCAGCCATTGTGTTAGTTTTCGAAGTTTCGCTCTATGCGACTGTTTCGCTGTTTTACCAGTACACCGTGCTGGCCAGTGTGACAAGAGCGGATCGGCCAATCCCAGAAACGTCTTAGATACTCAATAATATGTTGCTCTTCTATTAAACAACGCCAGCAACCTGTCAATCCGTCCTCCAGTGCTCTACGGCATGCATGCACCAATACAAATAGATACTTTTTATTTTACTGCTACTGCATTACACGCGAAATAGAGTGCTGAAGCTATCCATACTGTTGTTGTTGTTGTTGTTGTTGTTGTTGTTGTTGTTGTTGTTGTCATTGTTGTCGCACTCGTCTCACTTGCTACTGCTGCTGCTGTTGTTGTTGTGGTTGTTGTCGTCTTCCGATGAGGAATCGCTGCTGAGTTCAATTACCATCGTCTTCTTTTTCTTGATCCCAAGAAAGGCTTCCAGCTCTCGTAGACGAGCTGCAACGTTCTCTTTGTATCGGTCATTGACTGGGTTTTCGGCTTCTGTCATGAGCAGAAATTCACGGCCAAGCTGCCGGTATTCATCCCATCCTTTGCTACGGCGCTCAGCTTTCATCTCTTCTTCTCGAATGGCAATATATTGTTGACGTTGCTGGAAAGTCTTTTGTTGTTCTTCTTTCATCTCATCACGTACATTGTCGAACCGTTCCATGATTGCCTTTTCCCTCTTGGCGGCACTGCTTTTCTTTTCACCTGCATCAGCCGTACCCTCCATGGCTTTGTCGGAATCAGACTTCAAAGAATCTTGCAGCATGGAAGAGAACTTTCCATCAATGGCGGGGTACTCGGTACACCGAACGTTCACGTACAGTACTGCTTTGGCTGGCAGGGGTGCCTCATTCTTTCGTACTCTGGTAAAGGTTTTATTGGTGGCAAAGCTCCAGAAATCAGAATCATGACTACCAGAAGCCTTCATCCCTTTGGCCATGCAGGTCTCTCTCGCTTTCATCAGATCTCGCATGTGCTGGTGACAGAACTTCTCTGTTTGCTGGTTGTAGTCAGAGAGGTTGAAATCACCGTTCTCTTCGAATGCCTCAATATGGCCAAAGGCATCAGGGATCAACACCATGAGCTCTGCGTTGTTGCATGGGTCATTCATGAAACTGGACACCTCTTGAAAGAAGTGCTTGATGGGCGAACCACCGTGAGCCTCTTCGTAGTGTTTCCTCTTCTTTGCATCATTCAAGTCAATGAATTTCTGCACGAACTTTTTGTTGAAGCACACATTGACGAGCCGCATGAGAGTATTAAGCCGTTGCTGTTGCAGTGTGGTCTGCGGGCATGGTATGTCAGTTGCTTTGTACATGGTACCCATAGTCTTCCACATTGCAATCTCCTTTCGGCAATCGTACATGTTCAAGTTGCCACCACCTTTGATAGAACACTTGAGACAAAAGGCTCGTAGCTGCGAATTGGACCAAATGGCCATGTCATATTTCTTTTCATCCTGGGTGCCTCTGCGCACAACAAAGTACTTTGCCACTTGATGGATGCTTCCATTCTTTCTCTTGATGTCTTCCTCTTCGACACAGTCAATGTTGTTACGGTAGTCGCGATTCCAGCTCTCAATAAGCCCAGCAACTTCAATCAACTCCTTTTCTCTATCTTCAGACTGCTTCTTCTTTTCTTCCTCGGTGACCTTTGCTTTGCCTTTTCGTGACCTGGCTTTCTTGGCTGCCGGTGCTGGTGCTGCAGTGACATCCTCAGTAGCTTGGACGTTTGGCACAGGTGGTGGTTGCTTTCTTCCTCCTGTTTCCGGATGCTTTCTTGCCGCTGCTTCCTTAAGAGCACGCTGATTCTCGTATGACTGGAGCATATCCAATTGTCCAGGAGGGAGGGGCAAGGCTCCAGCAGACATTCGGAGAATGTGGTTCTGCCAGTTGCGAAGGTTGACAGCTTGATCCAGGACTGGGGTGAAAGGAAGAGGAGCTGTTCGAAGAGCTTGAGTCAAAGTGTTGCCGTGTGCTGTAGCTTGTGCAGGGACGGGGACAGGAGGCATGGACGCAAAACCTTGGGAAAAAACTCCTTGGGTCTGAGACAAATGCGACATCAACTGTTGCGATGGATCTGCATCATAGTCAGTTCGGCGGGAGAGCTGTGAGCATTGTGCAAGCTCTTGAGGAGACAGCTGGTTGTGGGCTCGTGCTCTTGCGAGCGCAATTGGGTCTTTCAACAGCATTTCCTCCTCTTCGTCGGTATCACTACTTAATACGTCTTTCCGATTCTCACTCAAGAAACGTGACATTCGATTCTTCGCCTTCACTGAGTCCTCATCACTGCTGTTGATGTCGAGATCATCGAGATCATCCTTCTTGGATGCCATTGTGCAAGAAGTCACCACACCAATACAATGAGGAGATTGATGCAATAGGATGGATAATAGGATGGAGCGATCTAATGAAAACAGCGAACTTTACATGTAAACTTAATGAATTCGCTAACCTAATTATTGATCTACAGAGATGAGGACTGCATTGACAGCTAGCTGTCGCAGTTGCATTGTCAATGCTATGCAACAACCATCATTTGCGTGTGCTACGGTCCGCTAAATCATGCAGCGAGCATCCAAATCTCGCCATCGTACCATTGCCCTTGTTAAAATTTCAGAATTGGTCATCTGCTGGATGCGTTTATTCGTGTGTTTTATTCGCGTGACCACCCAGGGAGCGATTTTGCGATAGGAATGGGTACGTACCTGCCATGTGCATTCTGAAGCCACGTCAGCGCGCAGGGTGTTGTTCCAAGTAAGTATGCACCGCAAGTAGGGCTCATAGGACTGAGCCTGAAGAATGATCCAGTCGCATTGGTACGTACCGGTGGTGGATATTATTTGCTTCCATCTGCATCTTCTTTGCTTAACGCCGTTAAAGGAACAGCGAGGAAAGAAACAGAACCGGTACACACGCCAGAGCAACCTTCGGCTACATCTACATGATGTATGTAGCTGGACGAAAGTATCCGTAACGAATGTTTCTGAAATAAATATTAAGGTACCAATATTATGCACACAGACAGTGCTTGAGCGATTGCTCAAACCACCACACAAGAGCCAACTGATCAACCATTCAACTTTCAACGCCACAACAGCTACTCTAAGCTAGACACCGGTACGCACTAGGTGGATTTCGCGCGAGATTCCTATCTAGCTGGTTGAATCATAACACTCATGGCGCCACAAGTGTTTCATCATCTGGCAAGCCGCACCCCTTATAATACTCATGGCGCGACTATTTATTTATTTGCTATGTTTCAGCTCTCGCTCGATAGAGAGCAGACAACGGAGTTGCCCGTAGCCACCGGTAGAGACTATCGAACTCGATTTTGTTGGTACCAGTACAGTCTCTGGTACCGGTACCAGTAAAAGTGAATTCTTGCAGTTGGTGCGGGTGCCGAATTGGATTTATGGATAGTTTTTTGGCTTTGAGGGAATTATGGGCACTTGAAGAAACCGTGGTCTGATTCTGAGACTCTGTACGAACGAACAGCCGAGATGGTCGAGGTCCGTTTTGACGAAAAGGTGAACGTTGTATAGATTATTCAGTAAGTTGCTACTAACTAGTAAAGCGCAGCTGTATCGCCATTGCTTAGTACTGATGTTGTCGAGACGTGTATTTAACTAACGAACCTGTGTGGGAACAACAAAAAGAACCGTGACTTTCGTTTCTTAGATATTTACGCCTGTAGATAAGGGATGTTCTCGAGAGCTCGAGGGAGTATCTTGACTCTTGACCGGTGAAATGGGACAGGGAATTTCCAAAGCTTGCTTTGGTTCGTCCGTTTTTCATCATCGCTCCACTTTTTCCTCCCTCGATCGTTGCTTCATGCAATTCGCTCTTCATAAAAAAACAGGAACACAGTATTGTATCAAGCTTTGCAGGTTCTACTTTCCACGACCCTTTCCACAACCGAAAAGCAGCCCTCCGCACAGAGAAAGAAAGACAGAAAGAAAGAACTGACCATGGATACTATCAAACAGCGAGAAGCTCTGAAGGACATGGTTGTCGGGCTCAATAGCCAAGGCGTGCACTTCCTGAGGCGTGGGGATTTCCGCAATGCCACCACTGCTTTTTTGGCGGCTCTTCAGAATACCAAGATTCTGCTCGATGCCGCGGCGGCAGCGTCTTCCCCCATGGCCAACCAGTGCCATGCAGAACGTTTTCAACATCCCGACCAACAGCAAAACCTTGTACCCACCGAGATCCCCAGCAAAGCAGCGTGTGACAGCAATGATACCATCTTTGCAGTCTTCAATCAATGTCTCGTCTTCCCCGACAGAGCCAGTCTTGACCGAGTCTGGGCTCGGAACGAAGACCTCATCCCTTGTATAATGCTGTACAATGTCGGCGTTTGTCTTCAGATCCAGAGCCTGCAAACTGGAAGCAGTGCCCTGGCAGAACGAGCACTGGCCGCCTACGAGATTGCCATGACCATCCTGAACGGCATGGACTCGGTCGTTATGAGCTCGGATGCATTGCTGCTCTTCTTGGCCGTGCTCAGCAATGCCGCAAGTCTAGAGAGTCAACGCTTCAACACAAACACGTCCACCGCCTATGCGGACCTGATCCGTCAAGTGCTGGAGAATCAAGAGTTCTCCGATCTGCTGGCGGAACCCGTCTTTGACTTTTTTGTCCTCTACCTCTTCTTGACGCCGAGAATGTGCCGATCAGGCGCCCCCGCCGCCTAGTAGCAACCGGTAGCTAGCTACCGTAGTGGGGCTTGCGGGATCATTGTCTGCTTTGATTGTTGCCCGTACGCTACTCGACCCGGCACTTACTACATGACTAACTACAGAATGAAGCCTCCATCTTCTCTACTTCCTCTCATATCCATAACACAGCTGTTAAATAGTCCATCATTATCTATTTGCATTACATATCTGCTGAAACATTCATATGGCTGCTGTTTGCTGTTGAATGTGGGTGCTACCGGTACACCTGTAGCTAGCTTAGTCTGGAGCCGTAGCTAGAAGCGCCATTGGCTGCTTCCTTCTTTCGGCAGGACAAAAGGACACGGTGCCTGCAGAGCTTGGGGGTGAAAACAAGCAAGGAAAGGAACCATCAGCCAAAATCGAGAACCCAAGCAGTTGTCCACAGGAAGATCGTTCTGGCTAGCTACATGTACCTCATTACTGGGTGTCCCAAAGGAACTCGCTCACTGCTGGGGTAGTTTCTTGTGGTTTCAATCTTGCATTTATTTCCACTTGCACAACATCAGCACGTGGAGCGCACGGTTGGGTTCGGTCGTGTTTGGAAGAAGATCCAAAAGCCAGCTAGAAGAGTTGACTTCCGTGCTTCTAGCGGCTTCCCTCGGATAGCTCGGATAGTTCGCACCTCGCACCCTTTGCTAGCAAGCTACGTCCTTTCTGAATTAAGAGTTCCTCTAATGGATTGTTGGCCGGTACGGAAGTCAATAGAAATGATCCACCGGAGCTCCCACTGGCTAGTTTAGCTCTACTGTAGCTAGACAGCCAACCTCGCCGAGGTGAGCACGGAGACCACGTTGTGTCTGCTCAGGCTCGCTTGTACCCTGGTATATCTGCGCAGGCAGATTGCATCATGCGAGGCTCGATTGCCAATGGGCCCTGGGCTATGTTCCTTCTCAGGACACCAGTGCCAGGTACCCAATCAAAAGTTGGCAAGTGGCTTTAGTAAAGTGTCGAAATAGAATACATGAATATGAATTAGCAGCTAGCCAGCTCTAGTCTTCAAGAAGGCGACTCGACTCTCTGATCGAACTGCAGCGTAGACGCGTTGACCGAAAATCGACCTTGCTCTGTGTTTGCCCTTGCCCCGAATTGCTGGAAGTTGGATGAAAGTTTGGGATCGGAAAGCAGCTCTCTGAGTTCCGAGGCAAGTAATGTGGCAAAGTTCAAAACCCGCCGCTACACGGATAGACCATCGTCTTCCAAGTTGTCCGGTGTCGTTGGGTAATTCATGCTGCCAAGAGGCTTCGTGAAATTCATGCCGTTAAGAGGGGCTGGTATCTCGGGGGCTTGCTCTGCTAGTGGGGCGCCTCTGTCAGCATCAATGTGTGAAATCCAATATGTAGTCATTGTTCCCTTCCCTTTTACGTCGATTGTGCCCCTAGGAGTCAGCGTGAAAGATGAGGGAGCCTGTTTGCGCAATAGCTCTGCTGCTGGCTCCGAGCACTGGACGCGCCCTGCTTCCGAAGTGGATTCCATACGAGCAGATGTGTTCACTGGAAGAGGGGATGTAAGTTACGCAGAACAAATTCGATCTGGAATGGTTGTCGCGCGTGAAACGTACCTGCATCTCCAAAAATCCCGTACTTTGGGTTCAAATTCCCTACAACGTTGGAAACCACCGAGCCGACATGAAAACCCACACGGATATTGACGTAGCCTCGGCTCGGATCATCGAGGTCGACCAATGTCCGATTAGCCGCTTCGACGGCATCCAATGCAAACGCTGCCACTCGTCGTACGTAATCGTCGGCCTGATCCTTGACGAGATTGCTAACGGCCATGTAAGCGTCGCCCGTGGTTTCAATCTTGAAGATGTCATGTTTGATCGATAGATCGTCGAATGCCTTGTAGAGACGATCCAGGAGGCTGGAAACTTTGATTGGACTGAAGGTAGATGCTATGGTGGTGAAGCCCTGAAAGAAAAAGCATTAGGGTGGTGAGGAAAAAGACAGCCACAACGCAACAAAGAAACCTCGTTTTCGACCACTCACTCGGATGTCACTGAAGAATATTGCGATGCTCTCATGCCACTCAGGTTCCACTGGCTTTCCTTTTGACAGGGCATCAGCTATATGGCGGGGAAAGACGTCGTAGAGCACTTGTTTCTTCGTCTTGTGTCCGATGGGTGCAAACTCTGTAGAGTCCAACAGCTTGACGTGCAGATCAATATCCTCTGCTGTGGGACGGCCCGCTGGATCCGCCGCCCAACACTGCTTGATGAGTTTCACAGCTTCTTTGGGGCAAGTGGAGACGATGCGGGGCCGCTTGTTGATAGCAGGGTTGGCAATCATTCCTAGGAGTTCTTGTTCCTCCAGCGTTTCTCCTTCGTATGGATCCTTTTCGCTATAGATCTCGTTGAGCACCACGGCAAAGCTAAAAACGTCACTTGCAGCCGTATTACACGAATCGCCTCTCAGCAGCTCCGGTGCAAGGCAAAACTTCGTACCAACGATACTGTTCTTTGCCTTGTGGCTCAGACCGAAATCGCAAATGGATACTCTGAATGTGGATGAGATGAGCACGTTCTTGGCTGGGGGTTTGTGGCGGAAGAGGAGAATATGAGTGAACGACGGGTCATTGCCATGGAACGGTAGCGTTGTCGACCAAAACGTGACGTGCTTACACTTCAAGTCCCCATGCACTATTTGAGGACTGGCTGAGTGAAGGTATCTGATTCCTTGAATGATATCGATGATGATAGAATGATAGTGATGGGATTCCAAGTTCACTGTTTCACTTCTCAGCACGTCATAGAGCGAACCATTAGCCATCCACTCCATAATCAACATGGGATCATCAAATGGAGAGATCACGGCCCCCATTACTGTCGTTTTGTACGGCAAAGAGCGTCGCAAAGGTTAGCAGGGCACTAGTCATCCAAGGGTTCACACCTGCATCTTGCTTGAGCTTCACGCACCAGTCGTAATGCAGGGATGTCTCAGCTGGAATGGAGGAAAGATTGGTTAGCCAGTCTTGTGTCCACACGCAAAACTCCTTTTGTTCCCGTTCATTTCACTTACCTTTGAAAGGAGGCGCATTTCACGGACAAAGTCGGCCCTGACTGTCGACGTTGCCATACCATGGCTGCCAAAGTGTGCAGCGGGCGACCAGCGTGTACTCTGCCTGTTTTGTCGGGAGACGATGACTCTGTCTTGGTCTGAGGAATCAATCGATGCCATGTCGTGGTCCTTCACAACCACGTCACGAGGGGTATCATTGTACTCTTGCAAGAAGCTTTCCTTGACATCGGTCGTGCAACTCTCAGCACCATAGGGAATCTCAACTGCGCCATGGCTACCATTGCCGCTTGTGACATCAGACATATTGTCTGTACTGGTCGAGGCAGCTCTCTTCTTGCCACCAATTCTCTTTACCGCCACTGCAGAGGAAAGGAACAGACGTACGTGATCAGCAACGAGCAATCAAACGCCAGCAATCAAAAGCCAGCAAGCAATGCAGAACAAGCCACACACATGGATGCCAAATAGATCGGATCCTACACACCTTTGGTTCCTCGGTAGTCTGCCAACAAGACTCTTCCAAAGGATCCCTCCCCCAGCACCACCGGAGGATGTCCAAACTGGAGTTCCTTGGCTTCCACCGTCCAAACGGAATCCGCCGCCCTTCGTTTCTCATTGACATACCACTTGACGGCCACAATTATCAATAGGATGATGGGTGCCAGCACCATGGCCACGACCCAGCCAATCGAGACACATTGATTGCCCCACTTGACAAAGTTGTTTTCGCACACCAGCGGTTTCTCACAGGGACTACAGAGGCAATTGTATTCGTCGTCGCACGAGAGTCCCTCCAGCTGACATCCTTGTTCGACGAGTTCTTTGGACTTTTTGTCGTAGCCTTTGGGGCACGTCACGGCATCGTAGAGTTCGGTGGTTCTCACGCACCGCCACTTGTTGGTCTCCGGGTCGAGTCCGATAAAACCCGTTGCTTCTTGCATGGACCGGAGCTGCATGTACGACAGGGTCGTCCGCCACTTGGCAAAGCGACCCCGTTCCATGGCTTCGGTGGCGAGTTCGCCCAAGTTGACATTCTCGAGAAACTCATCCCAGGTGGTGGATTTCATTTCGAGCTTGAGTTGACTGTAGCAGTCATCGGCGGTACTGTTGTTGTCGCCGCAGTCGATCCATTTCTGGTAGTGACTGGCATGGTCGTCCATTTCCAACATGGCACGTTGGACTTGTTCCGAGACACTTGGTGGGACGTGAGCATTGGCCGCGAAGTTCCTACACAAAGAAGAAGCACGGAGTTGGAATGAGATGTATATGAGTGAGACAAGCTTGCCAGAGGCAACCAAGATAGCAATGCAAGGAAGAGTACGCACCATTCGGGGTACAACGGCGTGGAAGCTTCAAAGGGGAATGGCACGCCATCAATCGTCAGATTGGCCTTGGGGTCAATGATCTTGAAGAGGGCTGGATCCACGAGGTTCCCATCGGCATCTTTGGTGCGTTCCACTTGATCGGTCCTGACAAAGCCCACATCAAACTGTCCACTGAGTACACCGTTGACTATCTTGCCTTGATTGGACGTAAAGACCAACTGTTTCAAGTCGGTGAATTGGTTGAGTCCAGCCAGCTCCATTTCCCGAAACTGCATCTGTGCAGCTCCCAGACCATTGACGGAAATGCAAGCCACAATCTTGTCTCTGAGGTCGGTAATGGAGTTGATTTGGTCATTGTCCGCTCGCACCAGGATGAGCCCCCCAAACATGGGCAAGTCATAGACATGACCGCCAATCTTGCGACGGGACACTTGACTGGCCAAGGGCTGGGCTCCAAACTCACTCTCAATGCAACTGTAAGCACTGGGATTGGAGTAGACAAAGTCCACCGTGAGGGCATCTTGGAAGATGGTCTTGAACTTGACGGGACGCATCTCAAAGCGGACGCCACCCAACGCTTGTCCCGCCGTGGCAGTCAAGTACGAGTGAAAGGTGGTGTTAAAGTCATTGTAGGCAGTCTCAATGCCCCGATTGGCCAAGACGCCCACCGTGTAGACATCCTTGTAGGAGGTGATCGCTGCCGTCCCCGCGGACACGGGCGTTGCGGCATTGGCCAAAGGAATGATTTGGCCAAGGAGCAGCAGCAAGGCCACATGGAGGATGGCGCCGGAGGTCGTTCTTGCCAGGGAAGCGCTTTCCGATCGTTGCCGTTGTTGCGTGCCGTTGTCGGAGAGTGCAATGCTGTCATGGGAAGATTCACTTCCGTCATCACACCATCGTGAGGAGGCAGAATCTTTGGAGGAAGTCTTGTGGCTCATCTTGATGAAAGGTTAAAGGGTTTTTATAGTGGTAGAGCAAGCAGGAGCTTGTTCAATTTGTCGGCTTCGAATTGGTTTGTGGTTTGTGAGAACTTGAAGTGAAGAGCATAACCTAGCTAGAGCCGGGCTAATGACAGAAAGACTCAAATTTGATGAAGCCAGCTACGTAGCTAGCTTTGGGCAAGCAGCTGGGCAAGCTGCCTTTCTCTGTGCAGGATCTTTCGAAGATTTCAAAGGAAGCGCTCTAATAAAGAAGGCTCCCGTCTTTTCTCCTCTCTGTCGCCTCGCCGCCAGAGCGGCAAATTAATGACCCGTGTAAGTAAACTGCAAGTTAGAAGAAGGAACTTTTTCTAGAGCGAAGGGCACTGAGAGAAAAATGGAATAAAGAACGTGCGTAATCTTAATTAATAATGCTCACTTGAACAAGCTTTTAACAATAATATACTGATGTTTGGACTCGTTCATAAGAATATGTAGGTGGTAGCTCCTTCAGGTTTCCTACGGGTATGGTAGGTTTTCGAAATACTAGCTAGTACGCTGTAGTAACTCGGTATGCATAGCTCTAGCTACCGGTAGCTAGAGCTAGTACCGTACTTTACTTGCAGTTCAAGCATGTCAACAAGGACAAACCTACGGTACGTCTTCCTGGGCTCAACTTTCTCATCATTGATCGACATTGCAATCAGGTGTGCCTCCACCTTGTTCCAGGAAATAATTGCAGATTTGGGCAGTGCTTTGCAAAAACTTCTATTTGTTCAAAATTGCCTTGGAGCAATACGTACGGTAGTGGGCATGCTTCTTTCAAAATGGTGCAACTTGCCTGAAACCTACCGTACCTGGTAACACTCGATGAGCTTACTACCCCAACCAGCAGAAAGCTCCAGAGAGTCCAATCATCAATCGTCTCAACTATGTTCTTATAATCAGGGTTAACATAAATATTTTGAGAAGATACAGTTTCCCATTTTTAAGCTGAAAGAACAGGACTCAACAAGTCTTTCTGTTCTTTTTGCACTTTGCATGCTCTTCTTTCTGCTTTGCTCCACTCTGTGTTGGTCATTCTCAGCGGCATCTCTTCCATTAGAACTTGGACTTGGAGTGGTACCGGTAGACGCAAGGACTAAAGTTCTAGAGTTGTCAAGCCCATGTAGTGTACCATCGAAGCCTCATCCTGCAACACACAGGCCCCAGTTCGAATTGATGGCTCTCTGCGCCGGCAGCAGAGATAACCCAAATCATTCTCGTTTTGGTTGCAAACTTCGCATTAGCATTCCTGTAAACGAACTCCAAAGCAAACAACTCCAACAATGACGACTGCTCCATTGGAGTCCGGGTCATAGTGTCATCGACTTGCATACCCTTGTCCTTCCCTTTGTCTTCGATGGAACCTTCCATTGTCATAATATCTTGTGCAGCAAGATCCCATTGAGGCTGTACTAAATGATCGAATGGCTTGCTCCTGGTTCCACATGCGAACAACAACGTTCATAAAAACTCATACAAAACGAAGCCGGACATGCAAATCGAAGCAATGCACAGCATAGCGGTATGTACGAATGTCTTCTATGAACTCTAGCTAGCTAGTCAGGGTTTGCATTCAAGCCTTCCATAAACTAACTCGAGCCCGAACAGAAACTCTCACCGTTGTTACGATAGTAATGTCTGACCGATCTGCATTCTAGGACAGTAGAAATGGTGCTCTTACTCAGCGTTCTTTGCAACCTTCCAATATTCTGATACAAGTAAGTATGTAGCTTCCATATTCGCATTCGAAGCCACAGAATCGCGATCCGTGAGCTTCCTGGTGGTACCATTCAACCCTTCCAACTTCCAAGTTCCAACCAACTCGAATTTTAACGTTGCTAGAATGTCTGTCTAGCTAAGCTCTATGTACTAGCTATCATAGCTGTTTGTAGGCTGCATACCTAGATGTATGCATACCGGTAGGCAGAACAGTAGAAACGGTGCTCTTGCTCAGCGTTCTTTTTTCTTCTTCGCATTCGAAGTCACAAATCGCCCAATCAAAAGGATAACATGCTGCAGCCTTCTCGACGATGAAAGAGGGCACTACCACGGGAGCTAGGGCCCTCTACACTCTACTAGCTAGCTGGCTAGCCAGCCTACTAGTTCGCGTTTTGATTGAAATTGTGAAGGGTGGAGGAGATTATCGTCAGTATGTTCAACATACAACAGTCATACTGTACACACTTGCCGCAAACAGGTGAAGGGGGTCACTTTGTGAATAGTGCATTTTTAAGTCTCTTGGTGAGTCAAATGACTCGACTCTTGTAGAGCACCTTCGCGTTGTGTCGGTACTAGTACCGCCGGTACGGACTTGTAATGTAAGCCAGTGGAGCTGTGGAACCTCGGCAGAAAGGTTTCAGTGTACCGGTAGACGCAGAGACCTCTATGCATAGTGCTGAGCTTAGCTAGCTAGAAGCAGACACCCCTAGCTAGTAGCTAGCTAGAAGCAGATACCCATAGGATACATGTGAATATAGCTTTAGCTGTTTTAAAAGCAGCACCCAAGGATACTTTAAATTTTGCTGCCTAGACTAGCTAGACTACCCTTATCCGCAGGGACCACCGGAGGAAACACAATTTAAGCCAGCAGAGCTGTGTAACCTCGGCAGAAAGGTTTCAGTGTAGAAGCAGATACCCCTATTAGCTAGCTAGCTAGAAGCAGATACCTGTAGTGCTTAGCTAGCTAGTGCTTAACTTGCGCTTAGCTAGCTAGCTAGAAGCAGATCCCCTAGCTAGAAGCAGATTCCCATAGCAAGCTACAAGCAGATACCCCAAGCTAGCTAGAATATTAGTTATATAGCTTTTGCTAGCTTTAGAGTCTTTCCTGGTAGAAGCAGATCCCCCTACTAGGATGCATGTAAATAGCTTTAGCTGGTTTAAAAGCACCATCCTAGGATACTTATTTAGTTTTGCTGACTTATTTGTATTCTAACCCTACCCTTATACCTGCAGGGACCGCTGTAGCAGGAAAAACAATTAAAGGGGTTGAGGGCTCTGGCAGCGAGACTGCCGAGGTAAAGGGGTTGAGGGCTCTGGCAGCAAGACTGCCGAGGTAAAATTTAATTCACTGATGGCTTGCATTCTCCTTTTCTTCAAGGGCCACTGGAGCCTGGCATGCATACAGGAATGCTAGCTAGTACATGGCATGTAGGTAATTGTAGAAGGAACACCATAGTACAGCTTGACGGATGGCTACGATGTACCCCAGCCGCCCATGAGGCATGAGGCTTGCTTTCCATTCTCCCTGAAGTCTTTACAGAAATCCGGTAGTACCCAGCTGCGTACGAGCGAGCGAGAGAGAACATTTGCATTGAACGTTGCAGCAGGTTGGTTTGATACAACTTGCAAACCGCCAAGGAGAAGGTAGTAACAATGCTACAGGAACAAGACCAGACGGTTTGGCTATCTCTCTAGCTTTTATTCAGCCTCTCGATTGCTTGTATCATAGCAGCATATCTTCCAAACACATGTACGGTGCAGACATAGTCCCAGTGTAGTGCAAAGCTTTCATGATTGCAACCTTCTAGCTCTACCTACTAGCTGTGTCGACTGGAGAGTGTGGGGTTGTTGTTGTAGGGCAGCGCACCACGGTAAATGATGCAGAGACAAGCTTGCACCGCTGGAATACAGAGATCATGACCAGGCCAAGTCTGGCTCTAGATAGTGCCTCCGAGAACAGCAACAGTTGATATCCAACAGCTTATCCAACACTGTTGGCCATTGACCTGACCAAGGGACATAGGGCGCCAAAGATAGATACACACTCGTCCAAGACTACTACAGCATGTAGCTCTAGCTAGCTAGAGGTTTGAAGAGCTAGCTAGCTAGCTAGAGCTAGCTAGTAGAGCTTACAGGTACTATCGATTGTGTGATACATTTCATACTTTCTATGCCTCTTACCAGTACTGGGACTTTTTACATCCAGTTAGCATGCACAAGATTTAACCATCATCCTTCGTCTTTAAATCCGCCATGATGCTTTAAATCCGCAAAACATTCTGATACCATTCTTGCTCCTTGGTCGAAAGAAAAACGGCAAACACATCAAGCTACGTACTCTGGCTGGCAACACATCAAGCTACGTACTCTGGCTAGAAATGGTAGCTAGCTAGTACTAGGTCAGCGAAGCCGGCGGAGGGAAAGCTTCAATTGCAAGGGGATGATTGATTGCATCATCTCACAAAAATAAAAGCGCAAGTCGTCGATCGATCTGCTCTACTTCACCACACTACTTCTACCGTACCATGAAGATCTCACCCTTGTTTGCTGTGCTCATGACGAGCCTCTTGGCCACGGTGAGTGGTGACATGCTTGACTTTGATGAGGGAAGCGGGGTAAGGGGGGAGGGGAGATTTGTGCTTGTCGAACAATTTGCAACACTTGGGACACGCACTCACATTTCTTTCTTTTTGCTTTTCCGCAAGGACCCGGCTGCTGGAGCAAACCCCTTTCTCGGTTTGTGGGAGGGCCTTGACACATTCGATGGCAGCATCATTCGTTATTCCATTACATGCGATGGGGATACTTGCGACGTTCGCGGCAGCGACTCGTACCGCAGCGACCTTGATCCTGATGGTGACTTTATCTGCGAGCCCACAGGCCGTTTCTTGTCGTACGGCGAAGGCACGGTGGATGGCAATACACTCACCATCCCGGAGACCACCTTTGCTTGTGCCGAGTCTCCTGGGGTCGAAATCTACCAAGAGGGAGACTACCTCGTTTACGACGAAATGAACAAGGTAGCCACCATCATGACTACAGATACAGGATACCGTTTCCCGGTTAACCTCCACAAGATCAGCTGCAACTAGACGAGCTGCTATGATAGCTACGAGAGTGGTGATGGATTGGCCCTTTTTATTGGAGGAGATTGACAAATCAACTGTTCCCACGGTTGGTTCGAAAAGAGCGAACTGCAGACTTTCGCTGAGTGACCGACTTTCGCTGGGTGACCATTGTAGTAATTGACTAACTCTAGACTAGTAGCGTACCCTTCTAAGCTACTTGGCTTTCGGAGTTGAACCTTCAGCTCTTTTTTCGTTCCCGACATGTACCGGTTGTGTAGACGATTGAGCCATCCGTTGATCCACCAGGAATGGAGGTGCCAGCCCACAGTCTAAATTTCGCGGAAGATCCAAAAATCTTTCGCAAAGTTGACTTGAAAATGACTTAAGGGTGGTTAGGTGCACGCACGACTGGAGGAGCACAATGACTTTTCTCAGGCGCTGCGGTACTAGTAGGTACACAGGCTACCGGTACCATGGTGGTACTAGGTATTAATTATTTTAATACACAGGCACGATACAAGCATATGGGGTTTACCTCGGCAGTCTTGCTGCCAGAGCCCTCAACCCCTTTAATTTCGTCTCCATGAGACGACGCACCTTTTGGTTACCCCCTCAGTTGCACTCTGAAACCGATTGGCTCGCGTTTACTGTGTAAATTAGTGTACCCGCACTTCAGTTGCAGAATCAACGGTCATGTGTATCGTTAAGTAACAAGTTCCCTTTCGAAAGATTTAGATCGATTCGTGGATAAAAGAACCGTTGAAGTTACTAAAGTTAAGGATAAACTGATTCAATCGCATGCACACGTACAGGTCCAGCCAAATCCATTGTTGAAGGTGCAGCACTGACTTCTCTCCCTCATTCAATTCCTATGGTAAACAGGAGGTAAATCCAAGCTTGGCCGACAACAATGGTGAGTGCTTTATCCAATCGGCCGATTGATCGAATCGATTCGAGGTAAGCCTATTATCAAGAGTGTTAATTGAAGGTACAGCGCTGAATTCTCTCCCTCATTGAATTTCTATGGTATTCAGGAGAGAATTCCGAGCTCGGCCGTCAACAGGTGAGTTGTTTTAATTATTCGAATCGATCGCTCGCTCGCACCTCTGTTATCCAAGCCTCACTCAAGCCGGTCGTCTCCGGTGTAGAAGCGAAAGCCATCCCTCATTCAATCCTATGGACCGCGGGAAGGCAGTCAGTTCTCGGCCCATGATGGCCAAGTTGGTGCAATTTGAAAAGCAAGAGTAAGTCGCTGGTTTTCTTCAGTTCAGCACAGAAAACAAAACTCATATCTATTTGTTGTTTTCTCTGCTGCACTGCTGACGGCCGGCGAACTATCATTGTCGAGGCAGTCCTTTTCGATCGACCGCTCCGGATAACAAGAAGATGAGAGGCTGCCGCTACGGAGGAGGAGGCTCTGTTAACTCCAGCCCTACCAACAGCCTGAACAGAGGAGCCTATCGTCGTCGAGTCATTGAAAGGCGACAGCCTTCGGAAGAGGCAACAACACGCAAGAGAGTGGATTCTCCTACCGGATTCATCCCTTCTTGTTATTTCCTACTGTTTTGGTGGTGATTCCTGTGTCGGTACCCATTTTCCTGTATGCGCAAGTAAAGTACTGTTGCCACTGGCTATACGATAGCTGGCTACGATGGCTGGATTGACAATGTTCGGTTGGGCATGTATTCGTCATAAGGATCCAATGCAAGGTACCGGTAATGGAGTGTAGTCAGTAAAGCGGAACCTGAGTGTGTTCGGTACTGTTGCCACTGTCACGGATCGATGTAACTCTAGGGTAACTGGCTACAATGGCTGGATTGACAATTTCGGTTGTGCATGTATTCGTCATAATCAATGGAGAGTACCGGTACCGTAGGGCAGCCAAGTTGTACTGTTCCACTGTCGATCTGTAGCTCTACCGCAGCCGGCTACAATGGCTGGATTAATGTCGGTTGTGCATGTATTCGTCATAGGATCCAATGCAAGATCATCGAACGGAGTGTATGCCAGAAAGCGGAACCTGATGTGTTCGGTACTGTTGACACTGTCGTCGTGTAACTGTACGGTAGCCGGCTACAATGGCTGGATTAACAATATCGTTTGTGCATGTATCGTCATAGGATCCAAACAGGTAACCGAGTGCAGCGAGCAAAGCCGAATCTGAGTGTGTTCGGTACTGTTGCCACTGTCACCGATCGATGAACTCTACGGTAGCTAGCTACGATGGCTGGATTGACAATGTTCGGTTGTGCATGTATTCGTCATAAGGATCCAATGCAAGGTACAGGTACCAGTAACGGAGCGTAGCGAGCAAAGCCAAACCTGAGTGTCTTCGGTACTGTTGCCGATGTAACTATACGGTAGCTAGCTACAATGCCTGGATTGACAATAATTTCGGTTGATACATGTATTCTCTGATAAGGATCCAATGCCAGGTACCAGGTACCAGTAACGGAGCGTAGCGAGCAAGGCTGAAGCTGAGTGTGTTCGGTACTGTTGGCTGCCGATGTAACTATACGGTAGCTAGCTACATTGGCTGGATTGACAATATTCGGTTGTACATGTATTCGTGATAAGGATCCAATGCGAGGTACCAGGTACCAGTAACGGAGCGTAGCGAGCAAGGCTGAAGCTGAGTGTGTTCGGTACTGTTGCCGATGTAACTATACAGTAGCTAGCTACATTGGCTGGATTGATCTGGTTGTAACTGTTGGTGAGGCAAAGGGATACAGGAGACGAGTGCTGAAAAAACCGAATTGTTTTTCCTGCTACGGTTGTCCCTGCAGGTATAAGGGTAGGGTTAAAATTACGTCTCATGGAGACGACGCACCTTTTGGTTACCCCTTCAGTTGCACTCTGAAATCGATTCGCCCGCGTTTACTGTGGAAAAAAGAGTAGCCGCACTTCAGTTGCAGAATCAACGGTCATGTGTATCATATCCGTAAGTACCAAACCTGTACTTAACGTGTTTTATCGATTCGTGGATAAAAAGAACCGTTGAAGGTTCTAAGGTTAAGGTTAAACTAATTCAATGGCATGCGCACGTAGCCGTAGTTGTACTGGTACAGTCGTACAGGTCCAGCCAAATCCATCGTTGAAGGTGCAGCACTGACTTCTCTCCCTCATTGAATTGCTATGGCAAACAGGAGAGAAATCCAAGCTTGGCCGACAACAATGCATGGTGAGTGCTTTATCCAATCGGCCGATCGATCGAATCGATTCGAGGTAAGCCTATTATCAAGAGTGTTAATTGAAGGTACAGCGCTGAGTTCTCTCCCTCATTGGATTTCTATGGTATTCAGGAGATAAATCCGAGCTTGACCGTCAACAGGTGAGTTGTTCTTTAATTATTCGAATCTCAATCGATCGGTCGGTCGCACCTCTATTATCTCTATTGTCAAGCCTCACTCAAGCCGGTCGTCTCCGGTGCAGATTCGAAAGCCATCCCTCATTGAATCCTATGGACCATGGGATGGCAGTCAGTTCTCGGCCCATGACAGCCAAGTTGGTGGAATTTGAAAAACAATGATAAGTCGCCGGTTTTCTTCAGTTGAGCACAGAAAACAAAACTCATATCTATTTGTTGTTTTCTCTGCTGCACTGCTGACGGCCGATGAACTACCTTGTCGAGGTCGAACGAACGATCGCTCCGGATAACAACAAGAGAGGAGGCTACCGGTACTACGGAGGAGTCTGTTAACTCCAGCCTTATCAGCAGCCTGAACGGAGGAGATTGTCGTCGAGTCATTGAAAGGCAATAGCCACCGGAAGAGGCAACAACACACACACAAGAGAGTGGATCCTCCTACCGGATTCATCCCTTCTTGTTATTTCCTACTGTTTTGGTGGTGATTCCTGTGTCGGTACCCATTTTCCTGTATGCGCAACTCAAGTACTGTTGCCACTAGCTATACGGCAGTTGGCTACAATGGCTGGATTGACAATATTCGGTTGTGCATGTATTCATCATAAGGATCCAATGCGAGGTAACCGAGTGCAGCGAGCAAAGTCGAACCTGAGTGTGTTCGGTACTGTTGCCACTGTCACCGATGTAACTATACGGCAGCCGGCTACAATGGCTGGATTGACCATATTCGGTTGTGTATCGTCATAAGGATCCAATGCGAGGTACCTGTACCGGAGTGTAGCGAGCAAAGCCGAACCTGAGTGTGTTCGGTACTGTTGCCACTGTCGTCGATGTAACTATACGGCAGCCGGCTACAATGGCTGGATTGACAATATTCGGTTGTGCATGCATTCGTCATAAGGATCCAATGTGAGGTAACTGAGTGAGGGAGCTGGAACTAAGGAATCAAGAGACGAACGCTGAAAAAAACCGAATACAAATAAGTCAGCAAAAACTAAATAAGTATCCTAGGATGGTGCTTTAAAAACCAGCTAAAGCTATTTACATGCATCCTAGTAGGGGGATCTGCTTCTACCAGGAAAAACTCTAAAGCCAGCGAAAGCTATCATAGATATAACTTGTATTCTAGCTAGCTAGGGGTATCTGCTTCTAGCTTGCTATGAGAATCTGCTTCTAGCTAGGGGGGATCTGCTTCTAGCTAGCTAAGCGCAAGTTAAGCACTAGCTAGCTAAGCACTACAGGTATCTGCTTCTAGCTAGCTAGCTAATAGGGGTATCTGCTTCTACACTGAAACCTTTCTGCCGAGGTTACACAGCTCCGCTGGCTTAATCTACGGAAGCCAGCCGGGGCAAGTGGTTGCAAATCGAGGATTCGATTCGGAGGAGGGCAACAGAAACCAAAAGCAGATTCAAGTTTTCGCCTTCTGTAGCTTATTTTTAAAAGCCATTCAATTGATCCTTTCAAACCAATGCAAAGGACAGAGTATTGTCCAACTGTCAGGATTGCTACCCATTCATTCAAGCGCTGCTAACCCCCCTTACGCACCCTTGGAATGCCCGCCGAATGGTTTCTACTATGGTCCTGTCTGATGTTTCCACTAGTAGCATCAATTGCGTTGCCGTCTTTGCCCCCATCTACTTCAAAGGAACCGGCAATACCTTCATGTACAAGGCCTCTGCAAACCCTGCGGCAAGTCTCATTCAAATGTTGGTGTCCTTTGTCGTCTGTGGAGGTACGGTACGTTTGGTCCTCCAAAATCGAAGGAGCCCTTGCAGCACGTTGCTCCAAGCCCAGTCCCCGTACTCCCGTAAGTACGCTCGCAAACAACCATGGTGCCCGATCAGTGTTGCCCTCAGGGGCTCCAGTCGAGGTTCAAGAGGCGTTGCCCCGATCTGACCCAGCCCCGTACAGAGTTCTTTCTCGTGCTCCCGATGCTGGGCTCTCTGCTGGCCAACTCTCAGTTGGCTTCCTACTCTTTTACAGCTATGATTAGATTGTATACATTGTTATGCAGTTTAGTTATTTGTACTATGAACGTTTCTCTTGTGTGATCTATTAACAAATTGCTTTGTGGTTGTACATTGTTTGCGCATAGTTGTCAGCGAAGCCAGTTGTTTAGGCAGCTGCTGCGTTTCCATTCTTCAACGTCTTGGCCAAACTGTGCCGACGGCAAGGATAACGAGGACCCACTCTTTCAGAGGTCACCTGGCGTAATGGGTATCGAGGGGCCTCGTGGGTTGCAGAACCGCGGGCGGGAGAGCGTCGTGAGGCGTTACTGATGTCGAGATCGTCATTAGAGGGCATTTTGGGGGTGCTGTAGTTGTTTCTACGACAATCATGCTGACGACTGCGTCGAGGGCGTCGGAGGTCAGACATGGAGGCTGGCCGGACAGGAGTGCCATCGCGGTGGCTAGGGGATGGACAAAGCCAACGACAGGGAGACGTCGAGTTACTGCGGTCGCTCCGGTCATGGCAGACGGCAATGGCAGGGATTTCGATGAAGGATGGGATATCCATGGTATTAAATTGTTGTTGTTTTGTGTTGGTTCTGAAATTGTGAGCCTGAGGATGGCGGGGCTGAAAGAAAACTCCTGGTGGTTGCTTTAGCTGCTGGGTATGGGATTGGATCGCCTTTGGTTTCAAAACCTGACTTGAAGTTGGATGGGATACAAGAACCCCGGAATCAATCATTCCGCGTTGTGATCTACAGTAGATGCCCTGGGGCGAAGCGAGCTTTGCAGCACGTGATGAGGTTTCAGAGGCAGCACACACAGCAACAACCCTGATCAAGGAGGCTCTCGGTATGGAAGAACTCATGGTGTACAAAACTTACAGTGTCGGTACTACCGTGCCGTTACAGGTACAGCTACGACGGTACGGTAACACGTACGTAGTAGTTGGGATTCGTTCCATAGAGATTCGCAGTTTGGCTGGAAGCACCTTCGTCGGCGACCCAGAACCTCAAGGACACTCAAGCTGAAGGACGCTCAAGGCTCCGTCTACACAAGTACTTCGCAACCTGCATCATATTCTCGAAACCAGAACTCTTTAGCTAGCTATAGCTAGTGGGGGCTCTGAAAAGGGATGCTCTTCGCTCAACTTGAAGCGATAGATTCTCACGAAGGAAACAACCGAAGTCCTTGCATTCTTTTGGCTCTCTTTGCCAGAAAGTTGCCGCCTTGTTGACTTTTTCTGAGCAATGGCGACAACGTAAAACAAGGCGAAGCCGAAGCCCGACTCGACCATTCTTGTACCGTAAGAACCAAGAGGTTGCTTTGTCTGTGTGTGCGTGGACCGGACGGGAGCTGCGACGAGTCTGGGTGCCTAGATGGTTGGCTCACTGTTGCCCGCTACGGAGTGACACCAACCGTTTTCACCATTCTTTCATTGCGCCAGCAGGAGGTCCACGGGGTTCGTTCTTGTATAGAAGCTGTACAGCGTAGAAGGCTCTCACACATCATCCGCATCTTCTTTACTTCTTGCTCCTTGCCATCTCGTCTTTCTTCAACACAGAAGCAACTACTGTAGCCAGCTAGTAGCTACGTACATTCAGTCACATCATCGCGCCAGCAGAGATGGCAGTGGAAGAGAGATGCCATCTCCAGTGGCGGGGTCAAGAGTAAAGAGCAGTCAGCTTCAAGTTACGTGTTACGGACCTACGACTCCTGTACCGAATCGAATCCTGTTGACTCGTCTATATATTGGTGGCGTCCTCTCCTTGCACAAGGAGGCGGGATGATGATGTTGCGGAAGCCTGCCCACAACTGTCAAGTTTGCGCCAAAGGCTTCGTTCTGTCTCCAATGGCCGACTACTGTATGAAATCCGACGGCGATGTGGTTGAAGGCAACATGACGTCTTGTCAGCTCCTAGGAAACTAGTAACGAATACTTGCTCTATCCTTGTACCCGAAAGGCAGCCTTGTTGCTATGCTCGAGCCATCACGGAAGCAAAGATTTTTAATCATCGAGACTACATCCCAAGAATTACCGTTTGGCCCCAATAATACATGTAGGTCGATGTGCTTTGGAGCTCTCCTGCCGAATGTCTCCTCTGTTCCTTTCTCCCACTAGAACCAAGATATCCGCCGTTTCCTTGGCAACGCCGTTTGTATTTTGATTGCTTTCCACTTGCCACAGTAGCCTGAGAACGTGGACAGGCATGTCCACGCCAATACGCCCTCCAGCGTTGAGAGCCCATTTGTCTTGCCAATTCACGAGAAAAAGTCATCCATGGAGGAGAGACAGTCTCTGATATTCCACTTTTTGTTAGCCCAATTATACTGTATGTCTTGGTGGGAAAATCGTCTTGGATTTCGTCTCTTGAAGATTGTCGTTGTTGTTGGATAGGACTCGACTCGTTGCGCGGTGTCGTCTCATCCCCATCCATCCGGCACACGGAAGCTTGCCAGCGAGAAAAGCATCACCATGGCTTGGCATTGTCAATCGCTATAATTAGCTGGTAAAGGAATGTGATGGAGCAACTTGTGGAGCGACGCGTTTTGGCATCCCTCTCGTCCACATCCACGCGTTTGCCACCACGGTGTGAAACTGCACTGATTCTGGAGGAGCAAGACTACCGGTACTGGTAGCTTCTCAAGAGGATTGTCACTTCCATAATAGGAATGAAGCTAGTATGAATTAGGTGTAGTACCGGTAGCAGTGGTAGCTGCCGGTATCTCTTGCGTCCTGAAGAAAGATTGGTCATCTTCGTTCTCGTCCGGTAGAGTTGTTTGCCCAAAGCCAAAAATCCCAACTTTCCGGGCGCAGCCGGAAAGTTGGCGGGGAGCCTGGAGAAAAGGAGGAGAGTTGGGAGAATTCGGATAGTTCGCTTTGGTCGTTTTTTTTTTTGTCTACAGGTTAGTTCTCCAGAGTTTTCCACTAGCTTTCAGCTTTGATCCAGCAATGTAATGGTTAGCTTTCCCAGTTCTCCAGCTAACTTTTGTGGCAAGTTGGCTGAAGCAAGCAGTTGGTTTTGGGAAAAGAGCCCTCTTTTTGGGTGTTTTCGAGCTATTTGAACAGGGCTCGAGGTCCACCAGAGAAGAGCCAAAGCCAGCCTCGCACATTAATGTATCGGTACCAGCATGCCAGATGCACCAACACAATGGTGGCTGGTGCAAGTGAAATGCACACCAGGAACCAGTGGGGTTAAAGCAATGGTGCTTGTTGCTTCGGTTGTTGCTGTTGCTATTGTTTTTGCTGTTGCTGTTGCTTTTGCCGTTGCTGTTGCTTTTGCCATTGCCATTGCCGTTGCCACGTTGCCGTCTGCTATCTACTGTCTGCTGTCTTGATACCCTCGACAGCCAGCTCTTACTCTTCTTGGCACTGTGTTCAGTCAGATCTCGGCCGTCTTTCTTTAAAATGCACTGAGTGGCTGATCGGTCACTACATGTACTACTACTACTATTACGAGGTAAGCCTATGATCAAGTGTGTCAAGTGTGTCATTATTGAAGGCGCAGTACTGACTTTTATGGTATTCAGCAGCAGAGAAATCCAAGCAGAGAAATCCAAGCTCGAGCGTCAACAGTTAAGTTTATTTATTCAAGTTTATTTATTCGAATCGTCGTACCTCTTCTATCAAGCCTCACTCAAGCCGTCCTTCGAATCGTCGTACCTCTTCTATCAAGCCTCACTCAAGCCGTCCTTTTCCGGTGCAGATTCTAAAGCCATCCCTCATTGAATTCTATGAACTATGAACCTTGGGATGGCAGTCAATTCTCGGCCATGGATAGTCAGGTTGGATAACAAGGGTAAGTCAACAGGTGAGTCGAAAGCTTTACTATGGTGGCAGCTACCAAAGGTGGCAGCTACCAAAACTCACTCAGTTGAACGCCTTCGGTGCAGATTGGAAAGACATCCCTCATTGAATTATATGGAGATTGGAAAGACATCCCTCATTGAATTATATGGACCGTGGGATGGCAGTCAGTTCTCGGCCACACAGACAACAAGAACATCATCTACAAAATCATCTGGCCGATGATGAGGGAAAATACGACAAACTCCTCCTCCTAAATGACTTGGTGACATTGTTGCTGCAGGCCGACGCCTACAGTCATCGCTGACAACCTCCTCTTTGGTTGCCGACAACGCTTCCAAAGGGCCCAGATTCGTCCAAACTGCGACAACAATGACAAAATTTTGACAATATTTTTCTCTCGTGGTAGTCATATCTCGGCCGCTGACGGTCAAGTAGTATGTGGTTGTTTCTTTCTTCAGTATCTATTCCTTGCTTTCTATTCTCTTACCTCTTGCTACCATTGTTGAGTCCTTTTCAGGGGATCAATCGCTCTGAATACATGTAACAAGACAGGAGAGAGGCTGCTACCAATTGGTCGATCGGTCGGTCGGTCGCTTACGGAGGCTCTGATCGGTCGGTCGGTCGCTTACGGAGGCTCTGTGAACTCCAGCCCTACTATATCAGTGGCGGCAATAATCAACCAAAGGCAACAGTTGACTGTGGACAACAACTTTGCCGATCTTGTTCATTTCGCCAACTTGAACAAGAGCCTGAACAAGATCGTCGTCATTGTTTGGCAACAGTCAATCCTCCGGCTGGATTCATCTCTTTATTTCCTGTGTTTTGGTGGTGATTCCTGTGTGGGTACCCAATTTACTACCCAATGTACTACGCATGCTGTATTGCCGACTTGGCCGTACCCAATTTACTACACAATTTACTACACAATTTACTACCCAATTTACTACCCAATTTACTACACAATTTACTACACAATTTACTACGTATGCTATATTGCCGACTTGGCGGATTCCAAAAATTATGCTATATTGCCGACTTGGCGGATTCCAAAAAATTTGCCGAAACCCTGGCTAAAACTCTGGCTGTATTCTGGAAATGCACTGGCAAAATTCC